GGGTTAGCATATATATATATATATAATATAGTTTGATACAGTATAATTGGACATAACATACTGAGTCCTCGCCGAAACCCTCAACCCTAAACGAAAGGCTCTGTCCCTGCCTGGGGCGGTGGAGGCGGCGCACCCGCCTGTCGCTCAGCAGAGTGGGAGAGTTTAGGGTTCAGGGCTGAGGGTTTTCGGGTTTTGGGCTTAGGGCTTAGGGCTTTAGGAATAGAAGAGATGCCGCTCTTTGGGACATGAACAGCTCGGTGCTCCTTCCCGTCATGTCGGGACCTACAAAGTATTTCCCGTGCTCTGGGCCGCCGAACGGTCGAACCGAAATCCCAGGGCATGAACTTGAAAGAGCAATGCTTTTTGGCATTGCGGTTATCATTATTACAAGTGCCCGCTGTTCCAGTGCTAGTCGTCGTTGCCATCGTGTTCTTCGGAGCACGGAGAGAAACAAGGATAGTAACAAGTATTATCAGTCAAAGTCAGCCGCCCAAAGCTGCAGCATGCCCATGGGATGCAGCAGCTGCCATTCAAAATTCCTCCTGATTGTGACTTCGCTACACAACACCGATTACAGCTTAGGAGTTGCTGAAGAAGGGTTTGTCCTGAGGTTTAAAGCTCTCTATTCTCGGTGTCTTGTCGAACATGTTACCTGGGAACCGAATGCTGCCCCACTTCCGCGAAGGTCGTTTCACTTTGCTTAGCTCCAGCACAGGAGCAGTTGTATGGCGGATTGCAGAAATTTGAGGATGCCTTATGATTCGGCTGCTTATGCTAGGGATCCTGCTACGTTGGGGTGTTTCGAACATTAGGGTCCCTTGTGTAATTCGGGGACGATATGCTAAGGATCCTGATGTGGTCTCTCACCTATCTGGGGACCTTAGTCATGTTCGCAGACGCAGGTGGCGGCGGCCCCGCAGATTTGCCTCGCATCTTCGAGACTGGTTAGAAGCAGTTGAAGGCTTAGGGGTATGGAGCTGCGAGCCCTAGGCCTAAAGCCTGAACCCTAAACTCGGATCCCTAGCAAGGGGTGACACCTGACCTGATAAAGCTTTGGTCTCTCCCAAATGTCTTCGGATCTGGGGTTAGGTGGGCTTCGGTCACATGAGTTAGATTGAAACAAAGAAGTAATGTGGACCCCGATCCTAACACAAAGACCCTCAAGGAAAGGGGATGTAGCAATCAGTGGTATACATCAGTAAGAACCATCATCTGAGTCGTGCATGCCATGCTGAACACCATAACGCGGATGAGGATGGTAATAGGCGAAACTGCGATATCAATCACAATCTCGGAACAAGAATCATCACTCTTCTTGCTACTAGTCTAAAACCATTCTGGTTTCATAATTCATAATTGCTCGCTGCTATATGAATAGTCACTGAGCAGTAGCAAAACGAATGGCGTAATGAAGGGACTAAGTGGACAGAAGGCTAACAAGAACATGGGCCACCAGCCAGAAGAGAAGCGCGTGTTTGTGCGCGAGTGGCCAGGTGAAATCCGAGACTATACAAATCTTTTCTACTCCATAATATACGACTGTACTACTGTGTCTGTGCTGATTGGCGTCTCATCGCTTAACCAGACACTAGCATCAGCAAAGAGAAGACGGCGGTGGTGACACTGATGGTAATGAAGTAAAACAGCGCTGAATGTAAACGATACTTTAATGGACTATGAAGATGGTTAGGTCATGAGAGACGGGGCTTCTGAAAACAACCATCATCGGCAACAACTACGAGGAAAGGGAATAGCATGACGACGGCGGCAACGCTGATGAGACTCTGATCGTAGTGTTGCTGAGATTATTGTGATAATGAGGAACCAGAAGGTTATCATGCAGACGACGATCGGAGATGCACTACCTGTATGTTCATTGTTCCCACCCTGAGCTCCTGTCAGCGCCGAGCAACTATGCCTGCCCTGCTCCAACTTGCAAAGACGGTACGCAGACTTTTGCAGCTGTGCTCGATGAAGTCCCGACGTCTGGGGCAGCTGCTTTGGCCACTGATGCCACCAGCTTTGCTCACGCCTGTGACTGGAACATGCCCACCTGCACCGGGGAGGCTCAGGGTTTAAGGTGTAGGGCTTCGGGTATCGGGCTAAGCGTAGGGTGCACCAGGGAGGCTTTAGGGCAGTGCGCCCTTCCCTACCTTGTTATGCAGCCTAGTACCCGACATCCTCAGACCCTCTGCTCCTTTTTCCCATGGACCCACGGCTTTGGGCTCTACGCCTGACGCTGAAAACAGCATAGCAGAGGCCATAACAGCCATGATAACCCCTAAACCCTAAACCCTAACCCCTAAACCCTGAAACCTAAACCCTAAACCCTAAACCCCTAAACCCTAAACCCCATACTGGCAACGGAAGACTTCATCCCTCGCCGACCTGCTGGTCTGGCAGCGCTCTGCCCCTGGACAGGGTCAGGCATAAGACAGGAGCCTGAATGATTGAGAGTAGGGTTTAAGGGTTTCAGGGTATGTCATACATAATACAGGAGCCTGAATGATGGAGAGTAGGGTTTAAGGGTTTAAGGGTATGTTGATATGGTAATTACAATAAGGCAGCCTAGGAAGACTAGGGTTTAGGGGTATGTTGGTATGCTAATTACAATACGGGACCCCAAGAGAAAGCTACTACTACTTACTCAGGCTTCTGTACCGTCTGGTTCGTAGCGCTTGGGAATGACGATTCGAAAACAAGAACACACGACATGCCGGCCTGAGGGTGCGGATTCGAGGTGATGTGGACTGACACTTGGGCTTGAGCTTCCTTCGCCCTCCAAGGCTCAGGGGTTTAGGGTTGAGGTCTCAGGGGTTTAGGATTTTTTTTAGGATTTAGGGGTGCGGAGTTCAGGGCTTAGGACCCTAAGCCCGAAGCCCTTCACCCCAAAACCACCAAACCCCCCAACCCCCCCCCCCACCCCCCCCCCTAAAC